TCCCATGGAGACGGATGCTATTTGACCTACCAGGCTCACTTTCGACTGATCGAACCAGTGCTCCGGGACGTGCCCGAGCCACCCTTTGATGGCACGCTTGAAGCTTGCGCGTTGCGGGTACTTAGGCTGCCGTGGGAAATGCTTGAATTTCCATGCGCCACTTTCCTCGCGCGCCGCTCGGCTGGAAAATAGCACCATCGTTGTTGGAAGGCCTTGTTCTCTCAGCCGCGCGCAGATGGGGGTACGGGGGAGGGGGGAAACTTTCTCAGGAGCAGCCCTGCTTCTCAGAAGGCGCGGGCCCTGTCTGTACATGCACAGGGCCGGCGCCTTCTAAGAAGCAGGGCTCCTTCCAATAAAGAAGCCTTCTCCCCCCTCCCTCCCTGCCCCCCTCTGGCGCGCCGACGAGGCAGGCCCTGCCCTCCCCGCCCGCGCTCCTGTTCTTCCCGCTGCCCCCGCAACCCGCTGGCCGCTCCCTCCGGCCCTCTCGCGCCATCGCTGCCGCCGCTGCTGCGGGAGGGCGCCTTGGCGCGGCTCGCTGCCTGCCGTCGGGGTTCGGGAGGAGGAACCCTTTTTGCGTTAAGGAGGGGCCCCGTGTTCCTTCCAGTGTCTCCCAGGCTCTTCAGTGGGCTCCCTCCTGTCCTCCGCCTGCAGCTGGGGCCCGCGCGCAGGAGCGAACCGCCACCCGCCCGCGTCCACCCCTGGGGGCGCGGTCCTGCCGGGAAGCGCTCCCTAGTGGAGAATGGCAGGAGTGGGAGGCAGGGGGCCACCCGGATTGCTTCACGGTTCGCTCCGGGTTTGCCTCGGGGTTTCGCTGGGAAGCGGAGAGGTGCCACTGCTGGAGGGAAGGGGGCCTCGTTCCCTGTGCAGGGTTCCGCAGGTCAGCGCCCCGACGGTGCGAGGGGTGGTGCGTGTCCCCCCCCTTGGCGCGCGCCAGGGGCGCAGCACTGCACTGAGAGGTGTGGCGCGCACTTCGTGGAGCGAGCAGCGGCTGCCTGCGCCTTCCCCCCTCTCCGCCCTCCCCCCGCCCGAGAACTGCGCCGTGCCAAGTAAAATCCCCCCCTCTCCCCACCCTTCGCGGGATGGCGAGGGGCCCTCGCCTGCGGCCTGAGCCCCTCCATCGCCTGGCCTCACCCGTTCACCGGCCCCTTTGGTGCCCGCACGCTCGGCGGCGCACGCGCTCGCCGCGCTGCCCACAGACCCCGTGCTGCTCCACAGGCTTCGGCGATGCTCTCGCCAGCCTTCCGATGACCGAAAGGGCGCGCGGCGCTCGCCACGTGCCCGCGCGTGCCGTCGGCTCGTGTCCGGGGGCCGGCCTCCCATCTGGGCCACCCGGGCCGGGCAGAGGAAGCATGCTTTGCCAGCGTGGGGCCACAAAACGTGGGTGCTTGCGCTCTGGATGTGCGTCAGGCTCCCCCCATCCTATCGGTCTCCTCTCTCTCCATAGCCGTCCCCTCTCTCCGCAGTTTCTTTACACACCTTCTGCGCCTCTATCGGTCTCACGATCAATCGATGTAGCGACCCACCACCTATCTATCCATCCATCGATCTCACTGTCCATATATCGATCTCGCTATCGAAGACGCCTACGGCGAATCACCGCCGCCCTCTGCCTTTTTGGATCGCCTATGTGGCCGAACGTTGTGGCCAGAGCTTTGCCAAGCTATCGGAACCTGTGTTCCCCCAGCCGTTGTGGAAGCTTTTTGGGGAACACGCGGGGGAGAAAGAAGAAGCGGAGGAGAAGGAGGCAACATAGATAGGACGAGGAGAAGGAAGAGGAGGCAGAGGAGGCTGAGGAGGAGGGGTGGAGGAGGGGGAGGAGGAGGAGGAGGAGGAGGAGGAGGAGGAGGAGGAGGAGGATCATTGGGGCCTTCTAGGAGCTTTTTGTTGGCCTCTCGGAGGCCTCTTGGAAACCTCCTTGGGCCTCTTGGGGGCCTTTTGGGGCTTCTTGGGGGCCTCCTGAGCCGTCTCAGGGCGTTCCTGGCCCGTCTGACGCCGTCGGAAGCCGTCTTGGATAACTCTTTAAACCGACTTGGCGCACTTGGGGCACTGCGGAGCCGTCTTGGATGCCATCTTAGGCGCCTTGGAGGCCTCTTGGGTCGTCTTGGGGCCCGTCTTGGGGGCCTCTTGGACTGTCATGGAGTCATCTTGGAGGCCGTAAGGGCCAACTTGAGGCGATTTCGGCGCCTCTTAGACCGTCTTGGGCCGTCGGACGGCCGAAAAGAAGCAACTGCCCAAATCCTTCAAACACATGCAACAAAACAAGGATTTTGGCTTTTTCGGGCCCTTCTGGAGGACCTCTTGGAGGCCTTTTGGGTTGTCTTGGAGGCCTCTTGGGGGCCTCTTGGGCCGTCTTGGTCCATCTTGGAGGCTTCTTGGGCGGACTTGGAGGTATCTTGGACTCTCTTGGGCCGTCTTGGAGGCCATCTTGGGCCTTCTTGGGCGAATTTGGAGGCCATCTTGCCCTCTTGGAGGCCATCTTGAGCCGTCGTTGGCGATGTCTTGTGGGCGTTGAGGTTGTTTCCGGTCGCTTCCGGGTGGCCGGCGGCATGGAGCGAAGCCCCAGGGGGTGTTCTTTTGGAAAAGAACCCAAACCAAGCCGTAATAAGTTTAGCGCCCCAGTCACCCCTGTGGCAAGCCAGCAGGTGGCGGCGGATGACGGAACGAGCCAGGTACGAGCGAGAGACGTTTCGCAGGGGGCGAAGCCCTTACAGGGATGGGGTTTGGGGGAGGGGGCTAGCGGGGGAACCAAAGTCTAGTTGCCCTCGCGCCTCGTATTTGTTCGCGTGTAGCGGCTCCCAGGCGGCTCCCATGGCCTGTTTCTTGTTATTTTTTCTGGTGAACCGGCCAGAGGGCCCCAAGACGGCCCAAGAGGGCCCCAAAACGGCTTCAGAGGGCCCCAAGACGGCCCCAAGAGAGCTGCAGATGGCCTCCAGACGGTCCAAGAGAGTCTCGAGACGGCTCCGGAGGCCCTCAAGAGGGCCCCCGAGAGGGCTTCAGGAGGCCACAAACATTCATTCCCCTATGGCTTTTGCAGGTTTGTTGGGTTCTTCCTTTTCAGTCCCAGAAGGGCCCCAGACAGCCCAAGAGGCCCCAAAGATCGTCCCAAGACGGCCCCAGAGGCGCCCTACAGTGGCCCAGAACGGTCCAAGAGGGCCCCCAGACGGGCCCCCAAAGATCGTCCCAAGACGGCCTCTGAGGCCCCCCACAGGAGCCGAAAACGGCCCAAGAGGGCCCCCAGACAGCCCAAGAAGGCCCCAAGACGGCCAGAGAGCGCCAAGAGGACCCCAAGAGGCTCCCAAGTGGGCAGAGGAGGAGGAGGAGGAGGAGGAGGAGGGGGAGGAGGAGGAGGAGGAGGAGGAGGAGGAGGGAGGAGGAGGGGGAGGGGGAGGAGGAGGAGGCAGGAAGGAGAGGAGGGGGAGGAGGAGGAGGAGGAGGAGGAGGAGGAGGAGGAGGAGGAGGAGGAGGAGGGAGGAGGGAGGAGGGGAGGGGGAGGAGGGGGAGGAGGAGGAGGGCGGAGGAGGAGGAGGGGAGGAGGGAGGAGGGGAGGGGAGGAGGGAGGAGGGAGGAGGGGGAGGGAGGAGGGTGGAGGGGGAGGGAGGGAGGGAGGAGGGAGGAGGAGGAAGGAGGAGGAGGAGGAGAGAGGAGGAGGAGGAGGAGGAGGAAAAGGGGGGGAACAGCACGAGGAGGAGGAGGAGGAGGAGGAGGAGGAGGAGGAGGAACAGGATGATGATGATGAGGAGGAGGAAGAGAAGGAGGAGGAGGGGGTGGAGGAAGAGGGAGGATTAGGAGGAGGAGGTGGAAGAGGAGGAGGAGGAGGAGGAGGAGGAGGAGGAGGAAACGGAGGAGGGGGAGGAGGAAAAAGACGACGAGGAGGAATGGGAGGAGGACGAGGACCAGTGGAAACCCAATAGTCATCAACGATAATGGAATTATCCCTCCCTCCAAGCTCCCTCTTCATAGGCCCCTACAACGGTTCATTTTCACTGAGGGAACTGGCTCGTTGGACGACAACAGTTTGAAGACCCTGAAGCGTGCCAAAACATGGTTCTCGGAAATTCAACGCCACATATCAACCTGATTGCTGCGTCTTGACGACCCAGAACCGTGACAGAACGCCATTGTTGGGATTTCAGCAAAGCGAATCAACATAATTGTTGCGCCCGCAAAATCTGGAATCCGTCCAAAACACATTTTCTGGTGTGTTGACCCTGAAATCCGCGAGACTCTTGCAAACAAAAAACGAATGTGCTCGGCGCTAAGGCGAGAGCCACATTTTGCAACCGATCCGCCCTCAATCCGCTTCTTGCAAATTTCCAAAACGAATGTCCGTTTGGGCCCTCTTGGCCAGTTTGGGGGCCTTCCTTGGTCATGCGACAACATTCGAGGGAGCCCAGAGGGCCCGCGACGAGCCCCAGGAGGTTTGGTCCGAGGGGCTCCGAACCCCTTGAAGACTCTTCAGGAGTGAGGACGGAGGCTTAGAGGGTAGCGAGAGGACCTCAGGGCACGCCCGCTCCGTGCCCAGCGGCACGGTGGCGGATTTAGGATGAACGGCCGCGTAGGAACCCTGTGAAAAATATGCGGAGGGGGGGACGACAACCCCGACCTCGGTGGGGGGATAGAGTTCGATTTCTTCTCGGTCTCGGAAAGGGAATCAGTGTGGCGCAAGCTGCATGGCGCAATCCATGCGTATGTCCGGAAACACAAGCCAGTGCATGGGACGCCCACGAGGCGTCAGAAGCGCCAGCTGGTCCACGTGACGCCCTCGTGCCGTCCATGGGCGCCCCAAACGCAAACATTTGGCAACGCATGTCGGTTACTTAACCAGGAATCTGCGGCGCAATCGCTGTTTTTGCAACCATGCCGCTTTCTCACAAGCCGAATGGCAGAAGCAAACGACTATGAACGCCATCTTTGCACACATTGGACAGAAAAGCATCATCTTCTAGCACCATGCGCTCAAGTTCAGTTGTTCCATGCATGGGTTCAAGATGTGGCGGCCCCCATTCAATTTTGGCTCGCGGAGGGGCGTTGAAAATGCGAAGGGCACCGCATATTGACTGAACTTGTGGAGGGCCTACATGGATAAATAGATCGGGCCAAGGAAGTGGTCCATGAGAGTCCCATGCCAGTCCATTGTGCGCGGCGTTGGTTATTCAAGCCTCGCCCCGAAGGGTCCTCCTCGGTCAGGGCCTGCTCGTGCAATTTCTACTGCAAGGCTCCGCGTTCATGGCAGCAGAGAGCATTGTCCAGTCTGCCGGGCGAGGCTCGCGTAAGGTGCAATGTGCCCCGCCGGGCCCTCCAGATCTTCACTCGCGGGAGCGATCGCAGCTCCACCCGTGCGTGCCCCCCTGCGCCAAGGCCTGCGCTACCCCAAGCACCACTGCGGTCCCGAAGCTGTCGGCCACGCCCAAGGCGCCCGGCACCGTTGTCGCCAGCACTCGCGCCGGCGGCTGGCAGCTGCCGATTGTGTCGCCGCCAGGGCTGCCGCCGCCGCCACCGCCGCCGCCAATGATTGCCGCCGCCGGCCCTCTCTGCCACAGCATGCCACCCTGGCGTTTGCAGCGGTTGCAGCAGAGGTTCCTGGCCGCGGCTGGTGGCACGGTCAGCGTGCCGTTGTCAGTGGTTCTGCTGGCAGTGTCGATGGCACCATCGCAGGCGGCGCCTGCGCCATCGCCGCTCGTGCTTGCTCCTGGCGGTATCATGCTCGTCTCTTCCATATCGGCTAGATGGGCTAGCATTGGTAGTCCGACTTCTGGGCCACGATTGGGCAAGGTTAGCCGCCTCACTCTGTAACACTCTTGTGATGTACAAGCCACAACCCTTATTGGCTTTGATTCTGTCGGCGGCAGTCGTGATCTTAGATTGCATGTGGCCGTGTGCTGTTAATTGCGCGCTCACCCTATTCGACGGTAAGCAACTAGTCAGGTCAGCTCCGAGGCACTGGCAGATTTTGTGCGGAGGTCACCGAGCGCCTTCCCTGCAACCCGCAACTACATTGCACAAGTGTTCCTGTGGACAGACGTGGACAGCAAGGACTTTGAACGGCACTGGGGTGGCTCAAACACTTGGGCAGCGCACAGTGAACAGTGCATTTGTGTGCGGATCGAACTAGCAACACCATCAGAGTGTGCAATCACAACTGCCCATCATCGCCAATCAGATGATGACGTCGGCCACGGCTCCCTGAGACCTCTTGGAGCATTTTCGGAGCCATCTTGAGGCATCTTAGGCTATCTTGAGCCATCTTGGAGCTCATCTTGGGCTCTCCGAGGCGCTCTTGGAGCCATCTTGGGCCATCTTGGACGCTCCAACCCCTCGCGAAACCCCCCGTCTAGGTCCAGGGGGGGGGGTTAGGGGGAGGGGTCAAGACGCCCTCCCCGCCCGCAAGCCGTCTCGCTCACTCCCACCCGCCCTCCCAACACATAGCACCCGAGCCTGGCCCGAGCCGCAGCATATGCAGCAGTCGTCTTTGGATGGCCAGCTACTGGGGGCCAATCCGCCGCCGCCGCCTCCGCCGCCGCCGCCGCCGCCCGCCGCTGCCGCCGGCGCCGCGCCGCCGCCGCCGCCGCCGCCGCTGTCCGCCGCTGCCGCCGCCGCCGCGCTGCCCGCCGCCGCCGCCGCCGCCGCCGCCGCCCCCGCTGCCAAATCGCCGCCGCCGCTGCCGCCGCAGTCGCTGCCGCCACCGCTTCCGCCGCCGCCGCCGCCACCGCCGCCGCCGCCGCCGCCGCCGCCGCCGCCCCCGCCGCCGCCGCCGCCGCTTCCGCCGCCGCCGCAGCCGCCGCAGCCGCTGCCCCCGCCGCAGACGCCGCAGCCGCCGCCGCCGCCACGTGTATTCTGTATTGTTTTTTGACAGGGATGGTGGGGGGGAGGCCGCATCGGGTTCGCTGCGCATGCTCGGAATTTGGAGACAGAGTGTGTTTGTATTGTTTTTTTTTTACAGGGATGGTGAGGGCAGAGTGTGTTTTGTTCCCTACCTAGGCTCTGCTTAGAAGGGTTCTTATTCGGTTTGCTTAAAAGGCCGGGCACTGGGGCCCGCCCCGGGCGGTTCCCCCAGTATCCGCCCCGCGGTTCCCCCGGCTACGTCCCTTTAGCTTAGCATTGCCTATTTCATTTTAGCTTAGCTTATTCCCTACCTATGCTCTGCCTAGAAGGGTTCTTACTCGGCATGCTTAAAGGGGTGGACAATGGGGCCCACCCTGGGCGGTTCCCCCAGGATCCGCCCCGCGGTTCCCCCAGTTGCGCCCCCTGGGTTCGCCCAGCTTGATTTAGCTAAGCTCAGCTTAGCTTGGCTTAGCTTAGCTTAGCTTAGCTTAGCTTATCTCATCTTAGCTTAGCTTAGTTTAGCTTAGTTTTGCCTAGCCTGGTTTGGCTTAGTTTGGCTTAGCCTAGCTTAGCTTAGCTTAGCTTAACTTAGCTTAACTTATTTCAACTTAGCTTAGCCCAGCTTGGCTTGGCTTGGCTTAGCTGAGCTTAACTTAGTTTAGCTTAGCTTTGTCTCGCTTAGCTTAGCTTAGCTCAGTTTAGCTTAGCTTAGTTTAGCATGACTTAGCTTACCTTAGCTTAGCTTAGCGCAGCGCAGCGCAGCATAGCGCAACGCAGCATTAGCACATCATAGCATAGCATATCCAAACATATTTTAACATACCATATCATAGCTCAGCATAACATAGCAGATCATATCATCGCATAACGCAACATATCATATCATAACATATCATATCATTGATTCGCATATCACAGCGTATCGTAGCATAGCATATCATAACATAGCATATCATAGCATATCATAGCATCGCATACCCTAGCCTAGCCTAGCCTAGCCCAGCACAGCAGTGCGCAGCATAGCATAGCATCGCATAGCACCGCAGAGCAGAGCATGGCATAGCATAGCGCAGCACAGCATCCACTACTGCTGCTGCGAATGTTGCTTTCCTAGAGGCTCCAACTCCTGGGTAGGGTCGCACTGGGATGATATGGTTTTTATAAAGGATGGTGGGGGGGGCCCTCATGGACCTGGGTTGGCTCCCAGTCGCCTGGGGGAGGGGGTGTATATTAATAGGGAACAGTGATAAACCCCTCCCCGAAGAAAAAGAAGGGGGGTGGAAGAGGAAGCGCTCTAGACCATCTACGCCCAGAGGGCTGGTGGGGCTTCAAGCTTCAGGATCACACATGGTAAGAAAGTCTCCAGCGAAACGCCAGGCCCGCCCTTCCGACTGGCCTCGGGGTGCGACAGGGAGGAGTTGCTCATAAGGAAAAGGAATTGAGCCGGAGGAGGAGGAGGAGGAGGAGGAGGAAAAGGCGGATGAGGAGGAGGAGGAGGAGGAGGAGACCTTTGGTGCGGGCCCATTGGGGTCCCCCCATCGCTGACACGCGGCGCGATGGCAGCGGCTTTGCCTCGCTCGGGCTTGGCCCGTCCCTGGCCCCCTGAAGCTGGGCACCAGACAGGCCACCCCTGCCCAGGGTTCGGCGGCGACATCCGAGCCCTGCCCACGCCTTCCATCGGCTCAGGAGATTCGATGGTTGGTGGGAGCAGGGTTCGGACATCGCCACCTGCACTCCTGCCTATGGTGCCGCTCCTTGCGTGCAGCCGATGGTGGCGCCGGGTGACGGGGAGCGCGCTCCCGGCAGACGACGCCACCCCAGCAGCAAAGAGGGCCTCCCGGGAGGCGCCGACATGAGGACCGCGCCGCCCCAGCTCCCGCCCCTGAAGGCGCGACACGCTGTCAGCCCTCATGGCGTGCCACAGGGGCCGCCGCCACGGCATGCTTAGCAGAAACTCCTGACCGCAAATCGGCGCCCCCCTGACAAACGAGACCGTCCCGGCAGCTACGGGCCCATGGGCCTCTTGGGGAGCCCCAGGGTCCTGCAGGGCCAGGGCTGCATGGGCCCGGTCTTGCGCGCAGGACCCTGCAGGATCCCGCGGGATCCTGCAAAGCCCGACTGACCACTTTGGCTCAGGGCGGGTCGCCTCGGCCGCAGCGCCCAGCGGCCGCGCGGCCCGCGGCCATGAGCAGGCCGATTTCCGCGCCCGCCGGCCACGGGCGCCGGCTCCACGTGCCGCCCGAGGAGCACTGGGCAGCGGGCTGGGCCCCGCACCCGTCGAGGGGGCAGCAGCCGCGGCACAAGATTCCGCAGGGCTCGCAGGGCAGGGGCGAGCACCGCCGCTTCCGGGACACCTGGCTGGACCAGCGCATCCGCGAGGGCGACTACGTCCCTGGCCCAGGCGCCTTCAGGGCTCCACAGGATTTCATGCCCCCGCCGCAACGGAGGCAGCGTTCGCGCCTCCAGCAGCGGAGAAACGCCAGGACACCGCGGCCCATGAGCGCGCCGCCTGGCGCAGCCGCCGCTGGCGCCGTGAGTCCGGCGCCAGCGCCCGCCGCGGGGAAGGACCTCCCAGCGCCGAGGCCTGGGTTCGACACCGTGGACGCCCAGAAGCTGTGCCTCAGCCGGCCAGCCGGCCAGGGGTTCACGAAGGCCACGCGCTTCGGGAGGCCCCCGCCATCCAGCGCTTTCACCCCGGGCCCCGGCGCCTACACGCAGTTCGCGGAGTTCGGTATGCTGCCGGCCGCGAAGTCGGCGCAGTACCTCCCGGGGCAAGGAGCGGGGGCGGTGCCGCTGAAGTTGGGCGGCCCGAGGCCTGCTCCGAGATGGGGCCCACCTTGACCCTGGCAGAGGAGGACACCCCACGATCCCTTGCGGGCGAAAGGCCGCGACGCTGTGAGCCGGCCCCCCCTCTGCGTGTACTTGCCGCGGCCTGTCATGTGCACTGGGCGAGGTGCGGGGTGCGGTGGGTTGGGAGTGGCAGGCATGGTGGGCGGGAGGGGATCTCGGCTGCAGTCACGGGCGTGCTCTGCCTGGCGCCAGCTCTGATGGAGCGTGGTCACCGTGTGTGCTGCCCCGCTGGCCTCTGCAGCGGTCTGGGCGCAAGCGCGCCCTGTTGTATGCAGCCCAGGCGCTTGTCCGCAGCGGTGGCCGTCTGTTTCGTTCCCTCCTCCGCCTTTCGTCCTCGTCTCTCCTCGCCTGCCGACGAGTTTCCCCTCTGCACTCTGCGTGGGCGGCGGGCCGTTGTACCCAGGCGCTGCTCGGGCCCACGCGTTTCATCCCCCCTTCCGCTGCTGCTTCTCCTCCTCTTCCCCTCACTGCGATGCAATGCCGTGCTTCTGGCTCCGCTCGACGATCTGTTCGAAGCTCTCCTGTTGGCCTGCGCACTGTGGCTTCTACAGGTCGACTGCAGCACTTGCATGCTGTTTGAATTCTGCACGATCCCCGCCCGGGCGCGGGTGGAAATCTGATCCCCCCTCCAAAAAATTGACCCGGGTTTGCTTGGATCCGGTCAGTTGATCACCGACAAAGGGGGCCGGAGCAGATGAGGACGGAGGGTCGCGCCGCCCCGCCGACGCACCAGCGCTGCGGC